TTAATTCTTTTGAACTCATCTATTTGTAAGAGAAACTGTTGTATAAAAGTTTATAAATAGTATCCTTATTGGTTACATTGCTCAACATGCATTCACATTGACTATTATCTGTGTCAACATCATATATTGGTGGGTTAGTTTTAATCCTTAAAAGGTTGTTAACAAATATTGGTACTTTGTATTTAACTGGTTTTCGCTGTCTTCTAGAAATTCGTTAAACATCCGAATCATCATGTGCGTAGATCAATCTAGTATTTAAGACAAAGTTTTTAGGCTTTGTTAGATAAGTTGAAGCCTTGGATTTCTTATGAGAACCTTTAGTCTGTTTTAACCCCAACTATTTGGTAATCTTATAGGGCTATTTAGGATTCTGTCGCTTGAAGTACTCAAGTATTCTTGATCGCTAGTTATAAGTTCAATATTATTTGTCTGATCAAACTTTTCTTTGCTCTGGGTAAACTTACACGTTACTAATTCTTTAATATTAGTTGTGTCACAATCTTCTGAATTATAACACTCATTTGAGATATACTGTATGGATTTACTAGATCGTAAGTTGTCAAGATCCTTCTTATGATTTGTTTCTTGGTTAAGGGTATTTTTATGCTCATTTTTACAGGTCTTTGAAACATTATTTTGATAGTGGAAACAGTTACTATCATTCGTACTGTCTTGTTTTATGTTTTCATCAGATCGAATACTAAACTTTTCAATCTTATCAAGCTTAGAGTTATTCGATTCCAAGGGCTCTTCAATTGACTTTGAGGGTTTATCAAGTACTATTTGCATGTTGATTACTTGATATTTAGTCACTTAATTACAGTATTATACTAATGTTTTTATTACCTTTTGTAGAATTATTAAGATCTAAGATCACTTCATGATTCTTTGGTTTATGCACTAATGTTGTTTTATCAGAATCCAAGTTATACAGAGTAAACGATTTTGGGGGATAATTTTGTTGAACAGGATAAATATTTAGTTTATCAATTTCTTTACTATTATTATCTTGTTTTACTATATTACAAATTATGGATTTATCCTCTATAAGTTCTTCGGGTTCGATCTCTATATCAGAGGGTTCTATGCTTATTGACTATTGTGAATAGGTATCCAATGCCTTAACCCTTTTATGGTTATCTTCTGCTTCATTAATGGTTTTATTGATTGTCATATTCATTTTATCCAGACGACAATGACCAACTTGAAACATTGCTTGGGCCTTATCCCTATAAATTTTCGTGGATCGATACGTACTGATTTCCTCATTATTATCTAAGTATTCACGTTCTAGCTTTGATATTTCTACTATAAGAATATCAGGTTGTGTGACGAGTGAACTTGGTTTACCAAGTATGGGTAATTGGTATTCTTCGAGAATTTCATTGATTTCATCATCTCATGGTTC